CGCCAATGCAGTGGTGGGCTAGAGTGCAGTGGTCTACATTGTCCTCCAATCCCAAGCCATCCGTCCCCATCGACGTCCATCTCAATCCAATCCATCCTGCCCTCCTCCCCCTCGCCGCCCAAGCCCCTCCACCCTCATTGCCCACTCCCCACACCCACCCATCAGCCGTATCATACTCGCCCACATCAATGCTCAAGCGCAATCGCCATATCTACTACCATTTCGCCCGTCAGGACCCCACGTCACGACCCCCCTCATCCACCCCTACCATACTCATTACCACCCGTCACCATAAACGACCACCCCCACCCCCTACCCCACCACCATCACTATCATCCCAGCCACAGCCCCCACCCTCATTCCGTGGCCATCGCCACCACCATCCCATCGCGCACTCGGCTTCCTCTTCCTCCTCATCCTCCTCGTCTTCCCGCTCTATGTCACCTCCATCCTCTCCCCCGACCCTGACACCCATACCCCTCAACCATCACTATTCATACTGCCCAATCGCCAACCAACAGCAATCTCGAGCCACCCAGCCATGACCCACCTGTCCCGACCTCCACACAGCCAACTCGCAGCCATGCACACCCGCCCGCTCGCCCGATCAGCCCACCTTCATCACCACCTAGCTCCTTCCCACCACCAGCTACGCAACCCGTGACGACACGCAAGGTCATGTCACATTCCACACTATCTCCAGTATCAATATCGCTGTCATCGATTCCCATCTTCCTCGGCTCATTTCCGCGTCGACTTGTTTGCCTAGGTGGTTGAGCACGTCCTCGACCGCCCGACCCCGCACATGCCCCCCACCAACCTCATTACAAGATATGGCCAATCTGATTTCACTACTAATCTACCACATGCCCACACTACCCCTTTGCACAGTCTCCAATCCACAGCTGCAGTATTCCGGAATCCGAGTTCTGCCACCTGAGGCCCAACTTGTTGTCCTGGTGTCGTTTCGATGCTGCTCACCCCCCGCCGCGGGCCCATCTCCGACCCCCACTCCCCACCATCCCCACCCACAACCACCACACCCACACCACACCTGCCCACCATCCCTACAACCTCACCCATCCAACCTCCGCCCGTGTGGACGTACCTCAGCCGACACCATCCCGTCAACAGCACCGCTGCCGGCTGTCTGCTGCTCGCCGCTGACCGCCGCCCGCCGCCGACCGACCATCGCCGGCACCACCGAGAGCAAGCTCGCCATCGACAGGGCATTGGAGACGATGCATACGGATAGCCACAGCAATAGCAATGACTACCAGTCTGCTCTCCAACCCAAACCTCCCCTCCCTCCTCCGGCCTTGCCCATCACAGCCCCCGCCGGCCTGCTCATCGCCAGCCGCCCCTGCCACCGACCACCGAGCCAGACGACGAGGCCCATGGGCTGGCCAAGACAAGGAAGAACAAGAGAGGGCAAGGGCAAACGATAGGCAATGCAGTGGTGGGCTACAGTGCAGTGGTTTGCCTTCTCGTCCAATCCCAAGCCATCGTCTCCATCGACGTCCATCTCAATCCAATCCGTCCCGCCCTCCTCTCCCTCGCCACCCAAGCCCCTCCACCCTCATCAACCACCCCACACACACCCTTCATCCTCACCATACCCACCCACATCCATCCGCAAGCCCAATCGCCATACCCACCATCACTTCGCCCGCCACGCCTCCACTCCACGACCCCCCTCACTCCCCCCCTACCATACTCATTACCGCCCCTTACCCCCAATATCCAATGGAGATATAAGCCGCCCGCCACGCCTCCACTCCACGACCCCCCTCATCCCCCCCTACCATACTCATTACGCCCCTTACCCCCAACCACCACCCTCACCCCCTACTTCATCACCACCACTTTCATTCCAGCCACAGCACCCACCCCCATGCCATGGCCATGCCCACCACCATCCCATCGCGCACTCGGCTTCCTCTTCCTCCTCATCCTCGTCCTGTCCCCACTCCAACTTACCGCCATCCTCATCCCCGACTCCGACATTGCCATCCGTCAACCATCACTTGCCATACTAATTCCAACTCAGCACCCCCTCCATCTCAGGGTGCATTCCAACGTTGCGCAGCGGCCTCGCCTGTATTTCCTTCACCAGCTTGGCATTCCTCACGACCACCACAGCCTCGCGCTTGCCCACAGGCACCCTCCTCGACATCTGGCTCCGCCGCCTCTGGTCGCTCACCGCAGCTAGAGCCAGTCACCGTTCATCATCACGCACATCCGTGTCTGGCACATTCGACATAAAGCTCTCGCTTGTGGTTCCCGAGACGCGTGTGCCTCTCGAGGTGACGGCGGCTGTGTCTTCGCTTGTCGCATCGCAAGCCTCGTCACCGACCTTGAGAGCACGGCACCACTGCTCTCGACCTGCCTGCCATGCTCGACACCCTCCCTGTCGAGCTCGTTCACCGCATTGCCTACGCCTCGCCGTCTTCTCTTGCTCCGTCCTCGCTTGTGGCGCTTGCGTCTACCTGCAAGCGCCTCCATGCTGCCCTCCTCGGCTCGCCGCATAGCCTGGCTCTGGCCCGGGCTTCGCTCGGCATGCAAGCGTGTGTGGCCCGTCGCTTCTGGCTGGCGGCGAGGCTTGCCTTGACCCGCTGCGAGACTCCGCCTGCCGATCGGGTGCTTCCACTTGTGGACTCGCTTCGATCGCCGCTGGTCACTGCACCGGAGCCTGATTGTCCACACTGGCAGTTGCTCTGCCGCAAGCTAGTGGCGAACTCGTGGAAAGTGGCTTTCTCTCACGGCACAACTTCGACTTTGGAAGCGCTGGCCATCGCGGACCTCACGCAGCATTTTGATGTTCTTGTTCCACTTGCGGACGCGGCTGCTTGTCAGGCCTCACTGCGCGACACCGCGGTGCGCGGCGATGCTGCTGCCGTCCGCGCCCTTCTCGACGCTGCGCCTGACGGCGGCTACGAGCAGGAGCAGTACAGCTGGCGCTCGAGTCTGCCATCACCTTCTACCAAGTGGAGGTTGTAGACCTTCTTCTTGCCCACCGTTACCTCGACACGACCTTTGACCACAATATCGCGCTCCGGACGGCTGCCGAAATCGGCATCGTCGACTTTGTCAACTCGATCCTCGCCCACCCTCGCGTCGACCCTACAGCCGACGACAACTACGTTCTCCGCTGGGCTGTCCGCAAGCACCATGTGGGTGCAATCACCCTGCTCCTTGCTGATCCACAGATAGATCCGACGACCATCGCCGCCGAGCTTGTCGACGATGCGCTGCGGCGCGGCGGCGGGAAGACGCTTGAAGTTCTCCTCGCCGACAGCCGCATCAACCGTGCCATCGACCGCGCAGCGACGCTGCTGAGCGCTGCGGTGAGCGGCGACGCAACGACCGTGGCGAACCTTTTAAGCGATGATAGTGTAGGCACTGGTGTCGACTTTGATGCTTTACTCCGCACTGCCATCGAGAACGGCCATGCGCCCGTTGTCGAGCTGCTACTCGCCGACGGCCGATCCGACGTCACCGCTGTCGTCGACCGCCTTCCCCGCTTGCGCTGGCGATCAAGTGTGGGCACGCCGACATTGCTTCGATCCTCCTTGCTGACACGCGCGTTGACCCCAACGCTGAAAACGGCTCTGCGCTCGGGTACGCTGTCTTTTGTGATCGCTTGGAGCTGGTGCAGATGCTGCTCGCTGACCCGCGGGTTGATCCTACAATCGGCAACAACCGGGCGGCGGACATTGCGCGGCGCAAACGCCGAACCGCAATCATGGAGGTTCTGATAGAGGCAGGCTGTTCGGCGTGAGCACGGCTACGAGAACGGCCGCTGCGAAGTCCGGGCGTGGGTCCGGGTGTTGTAGTAAAAGTAATGCCCGCTTGGCGTGCGGCCCATTCTCCAGAACGACGGTAGGTTGCGGCCATACTTGTCGACCTTGACCATGCTGCTGGTGTCCATTGGCTCGCGCACAAGGCCGCCAATACCGTCGCCGTACATGTCGTCGCCAATGACGCCGTCGTCCCACGCGCCGTACTGCAGCGACAGGCGCGCCCGGTCCTCCGCTGCGGAGCGTCGAGCGTCGAGGACCTCGTACTCGCGGCGGAGCGCACGTTTCTTGATGGCAAAGAACCAACCAAGCGCACAAAAGATGAGCGCAGAGAACCCAAGCGCAACCCCGATGGTCAGCCCAATGATGTCGGTTCGGCTCCAGGTCTTGCCCATCGGACTGCCAGAGCTGCTGCCAGTCACCGTCGGCGAGTACGGCGTCGGTGGCGGCGGGCGGTGCGGCGGGCCGGGGCTCGGCGTAGGCGCTGGTCCGGGTGTTGGCCCAGGCGTCGGCCCCGGCGTCGACCCAGGCGTCGGCCCTGGCGTCGGGCCAGGCGTCGGCCCAGGCGTCGGTCCAGGCGTCGGCCCAGGCGTCGGCCCAGGTGTTGGCGTCGGTGCAGGGGTCGGGGCAGGGGTCGGGGCGGGGGTTGGGGCGGGGGTCGGCGGCGGAGGTGGCGGGGCAGGCGCAAACGGACATGCGTCCTTGTGGCTCGTCTTGAACACGGTGACGCAGTCGTCAGCCGACACAAACGACCATGTGATCGGCCCGTCGACAGCCGGCGCGCACTCGAACTCAAAGTGGACCTGGTTGGCCTTGAGACACTTGAGCTCAAAGTGGCCTCCTCCGTACACCATGATCATGCCCTCCGGCGAGTGCTTAGGAAAGAACGACGGAGTGGCCTCGTCTACTTTGCCCAAGTAGAACGTATCGCTCTTGTCGCTCGACTCTTGGCAAGCCACAATGCCGCTCTCGGGACAGGCCGAGGTCTTGTCGTTGAGTGCGACGCAGACATCAAAGACGTAGTTCAAGTCGGCAGCCTTGCCCGTTCCAGCAACCTTGTATCCCTTGCCACCGTTGGAGAACTTGGTCACGTCATAGTTTTTGTACACACATGGGTTCTTTGGTGCAGCCGGGGGCGGGGGCGATGCCGCTGCCGCTGCGCTCTGGCCACTGACCACCCCTGTCGCCTCGCGCCGGTCACCGCCACCGCCACCACCAGCTACCACTGCCACCAACGCCACCGCCACCACCACGACCACCACACTCATACCTGCTCTATAACCTCCCATACACACACTCTCTGCTTTTCTCCCCTCACAACAGACAGGTGTCCAGGTGCCTGCCATTGCCCTGCCTGCCACCGCCACCGCCCCCGCCCGCTCACAGTGGCACGCCCTGCCCCCCCCACTGTCCGTCACAGGTTTCCACGCCTTCTCACGTCGCATGGCAAGAACCGGCACCACCACTAGACCACTGAGACCCTCACGCCCACAACACCACTCGACCCACTTTGTCCCTCCAACTACATGCAGAGCACACGTCTTTCCAGGAGTGGTGTTTGGGTAGGCTACCCCTTCCCCCTCCCTCCCTTGCCCCCTCCCCCCCCCCCCCCCCCCCCCCCCCCTTTCCTCCACTAACGCTCCCCCCTGCCCCCCTCGTCTCGCAACAGGTCCGCATTGACGCCGTCAAGGCATCGTTCCTCACGGGCGTACGTACATGACCTCCCGTCCCTCCCTCCCTCCCCTCCCTCCCTCCCTCCCTCCCTCCCTCACCCCTCTCACTCGCCCTTGCCACGCACCCCAGACCGAGTACCAGGAGGCAACCAAGAAGGACCCGTACCTCAAGGTCCGGTTCGGCAAGCTCTCGCTGGAGACGCCGCACGTGACCGACTCTCTCGAGCCCGAGTGGAATCGGAGGTATGCATGGCCGCTGGAGACGTTTGTCAAGGAGCTGAGCTGGTCGTCATCGGCCTTTGATGTCAAGATCGCCAACAAGAACGTCTTCCGCTCGTCGTTTATGGGTGGCTATGTCGCTGCCGACGAAGAGATCCGCCAGTGGCTAGACGAGGCCACGCCCGAGAGCCTCTCGGACCGGCTTGGTGTGGCTGTTCTCCGCTTGATAGACCTGACTCTCAGCGATGTTCAGGGCGACGACCTACGTGTGGTCAAGACCTTCAAGCTCTACCCCAAGAAAGAGTACAAGGCAATGGGCAAGCTGTCGCGGGCGGAGCGTAATGCCCGCTTTGCAGCCTCTAATGCCCATGTCGACGAGCATGGCAATGCGGTCGACGAGGATGCGGTCGGCGTTGTGACCCTCGCACTCTCGCTCGGCGCTCCGCCGGCCACGTGGACAGTCTCGGTCCAAGACTCGGTCCTCGCGCGGCTCAACTCGATCTTGGGCCCGTCGTCCGACTACGAGGCCAAGTTTGACGCCCATGGGCGCATTTTCTACCTCAACCACGCAGCACAGAGTGTAACCTACGAGGCGCCGCCGCAGCTGGCGGCAGCCGACCTCAACTCGTCAATTGGTTCGGTTGATGACACTTCCATGTGGTCCGTCGGCGACGGCTCGCTGGTTGCTCACGTCGCCAGCGACGACGAGAGCGTGACTTCGGCGCCGTCCGAGGACTCGGACACGTATGCGGCATCGCCGGTGTGGTGGCGGACTAAGCAGCTCGGGCCGATGCCGCCGGGGTGGGAGCTTGGCAGCGAGGGCGCGGCCAAGCCGTATTTCATTAACCACTCGCTCCGCAAAACAACGTGGGACGATCCGCGGGTGCCCGGGCCGGCGGACACCTTCCATGTCGACGTCCAGACGGTGCTGGCAGCCAACGCGCCGCTGGAGGACGGCTGGGAGCGGCGGGTGATGGCGGTGACGCACCGACTGTACTACATCAACATTGATTTGTGGCTCTCGCAATGGAACGCTCCGGGTGAAGAGTTTTCTGAGCTCGAGAGCTACCATGACGAGGTCCGCGGCGCGTTCCCGCCGGGCTGGGAGCGCAAGATTATGGGCGATGGTTCGGTCTTTTACGTCAATCACCTGTCCAAGTCAACGACGTGGACCGACCCGCGGCTGGCAAGCGAGTCAGGCGACGGCGCCGGGCCATCGATGTCGACGGCGGCCGGCTCGGCCGACGCGACCGGCTTTCAGAATCAGCTTGCCGCGCTCCACAACGAGCTGCCGTCGGTCTCGGGCGAGACCCTCATCACAGTCTCGCGTGACCGGCTGTTCGAGGACGCGTACCAACGGATTATGGCGCTCGACTCTACCGCACTCAAGCGGTACTTTCGCGTTCAGTTTGACGGCGAAGCCGGGCTGGACTACGGCGGTCTCTCGCGCGAGTTCTTCACCACCATCTCACAGTCGATGTTCTCACCTTACTACGGGCTGTTTGAGTACTGTGGGTCGGACACCGGTACGCTGCAGATCAACAAGCACTCGGGTCTTGTGGCCGATGACCACCTGCGGCTGTTTCGGCTGGTGGGGCGGACCATCGGCCTTGCTATCCGCAACGGCAAGCTGATGGAGGCATACTTTACGCCTGCCTTTTACAAGCACCTCCTCCGGCGGCCGGCGACGCTGCGTGACATGCAGTCGTACGACCTCGAGACGTACAACTCGCTGGCGTGGGCCTCGTCCAACTCGATCGACAACATCTTGTTTGAGACGTTCTCGGTTGTCGAGCACACCTTTGGCACCGAGGTTGTCATCGACCTCATTCCCGATGGGCGCAACATCGACGTGACCGACGCCAACAAGGCGCGGTACATCGGGCTGCTCATGAACTACTACCTGTTCGACTCGGTCGAGGAGCAGATGGAGGCGATCCGGACCGGCATCGCTGATGTCTTTGACCTGGCGCTCCTCGAGCGGTTCGACTCGCGCCAGCTCGAATACCTCATCTCGGGTCTCGGCACGATCGACGTCGACGACTGGCAGGCGCACACCACGTACTCGGGCCCGTTCTCGTCCTCGCACAAGCAAATTCGCTGGTTCTGGGACATTGTCCGCTCGTTCAACGACGAGGAGCGGTCGCGGCTGCTCTCGTTTGCCACAGGCACCTCGCGGGTCCCGCTCGGCGGCTTTGCGCACCTCGTTGGCTCCAACGGGCCGAAGCAGTTTGAGCTTGACAGCCTCCCAGGCTCGGCCGACCGCCTCATGTACGCCCACTCGTGCTTCAATCGCATCAACATGCCAGTCTATCCCTCGCGCGCCGTCTTTGAAAACAAGCTCCGTCTCTCCATCATGGAGAGCGCTGGCTTTGACATTGCGTAGACGCGCAAGCGCCGGCGCAAGCGAGAAGGGCAGCAAAGCTGCAACGCTCTCCACGCGTCACGGTGCTCATCTTCGGTGCCGCTCACGCTCCGCGCGCCACGTCGCGCTGGAGTCGGAGCATGTTGAGGACGTCGGGGTCGAGGCCGGTCTTGGTGGCAGAGAGGAACTGGTAGAGGACAGTGGACGCGACGTCGACGAGGATGTAGAAGAAAAACGTGCCGTCAAAGTTGGAGGTAAAGGCGAGGCAGAGGTACTTGGAGGCTGCGGTGGAGGCAGTGACTGCGGCAATGACAACCACAGTGCCGATGCCCATCCAGATAGTGGCCTTGCGACGGTGCGAGGTGAGGGTGTACACGACCCGCGCCTCGAGGATGAGGAAGAGGACAAAGCAGGCGATGGGCACGGTGTAGTAGAATACAAACAGCAGTGGATGCCAGCCCGAGACAGCGCCTGCCAGGACACCAACACCGATGACAGTGAGGAACGGGATGTAGATCTTGAGGCGAGGGGCAAGGGCGATGGGAACGAAGGCGAGGTCTGCGAGGCCGCAGAAGAGCAGCGATGACCACGTCCATGAAGTGAGGACCATGGTGAGGCCCAGGATGACGGTGTGGATGATGGAGGCTTCGTATGCCAGGGTCCGTAGAAGGACGAGGAACAGTATATTGGTCCCCAGCAGGCCGTAGAAGGAGGCGTACTCGAGCGCGCCGCCCTTGACATGGATGGCGATGCGGTAGGCCGAGTACCAGGCGGTGATGGCCGAGACGAGGCCGACAATGACCAGTGACGGCTCTTGCAGTGTCAGCGATCCCGAGGTGAGCGTCGGCGGGATGCACTTGGCCTCGTCCGGTACATACCGCACCGCCGTGGCGTTGCACACGGTGAGATACGCCTTCTCGCAGAAGTACTCCATGGTGAAGAAGCCCGGGACAGCTGGCGGAGGCGGCGGAGGCGGCGCAGGCGGCGGTGGCGGGAAGATGGACATGGCAGGCAGGCAGTGGGCGGTGTGGACGGTGGGGTGAGGTGGTGGTAGGGGAGGGGGGAGTGAGAGAGTGTGGTGGTCGCTGGTGTCGTGCCTGTCGCCGTGGCTTTGACGCGGCTCTCCTTCTATTGAGTCGATGGCGTTGGTCGCACGTGCTGGTGCTGGTTGCCGCTGGAGTGTGGCACCACGTGGAGCACGTGACCTTGGCGATGGACATGGGGGATGGCTGGGGACAAGAACAAGCGGTGGGGAAGGGGGAGGACTTGCGTTCAATCGCAGCTCAGCCGCGGCGACGCGAATTCTGGCGCTTCTTGCTACTGCCCGAGGACTTGTGGGTGCGGCCGGCGCCGGCGCCCGAGTGAGCGGGCAGGTGCTGGACGGGCTGGCGGGCGGGAGCGCCCTTGTTGGCCTTGTGGTTCTCGACGTCTGCCATGCGTTGGGAGTAGGTGGAGATGCCGTAAATGCGGCCGACGTAGGGGCTCGGATCCCAGCCGGTGCCAAAGTAGGTCTCGCGGAGGCGGAAGAAAGTGTTGAGGGTGAGGAGCGAGTCCGAGCCTGCCTGGTGCTGCGGCCCGATACGGGTGACGTGCAGCTCCTCGGCGAGGTCCTGCAGGCCGCCCTTGGCCTTGCCAATGGACCGGGCCACAAACTTGATGTCAAAGATGTTGGGAAAGTACAACGAAAGGAGCTCAAAGAAGGCGTCCTCGTGCGACGGCAGTGGCGCACAGGTCAGCAGCTTGAGCAGGTAGCCAAAGTCGTAGCCCGAGTGGAACGAGATCCACTGTACCGAGTCCATGAGGACAAGGCCCGACGACATGAGCAGCTCGGCAAACGCGTGCGGGTCCACGCCGCGGTCCTCGTGCGCCTTGAACTGGATGCCCGACCGCGTGAGCAGGTCGATCGAGTCCTGCGCGTACATGTCCTCGCCGAGCGAAAACTTAAAGTTGAACTGCCACGTCGGCATCCACGCCGGGATGTGTCCGCGCTCGTCCGCAAAGGTGATGCCCAGCTGGATGATGTTGAGCAGGTCCACGTTGCTCCGCAGCGTCTGGAAGTGGTAGTCGGCCGTCGACTTGAAGTGGCCCATTGGCCGCGCCACAACTCCGGGAAACTCGGTGTCCTACTCTCGCCCGTCGCCGTCGTCACCACCGCCGTCAACCGTCCACACCCACCCATGCCCACATCCCGTGCCTGCCGTGAGCTTTGTCCAACACTGCCGGCTGGCGGCGGGCGCGCGCCACTGACCAAAAAAGGAACGCGCTCAGTACGGGCCGACCCACCAATGTCGCCGCACGCTCCCTGCCCCTACACACGCCACCGCACAAGCCCTTGCCCACACACCACGGCTACCATATCGGCTGTCCTCTTCTCTCTCGCTCTGCCCTCCCTGCATGACTCTCCGTTCCCTCCCCCGTCAGCCGGCGGCTCGGTAGCTATGCGGCGGCGACGGGGGGCTCCTGGCCCGCTGGTCGCGCCCGGCGTGTGGCCATGACGTACCATGGCAATGTAGGGGAACTTGTCGACCAGCTCTCTGATGTCGATGAATGCTTCTTCGAGGTTGTCCTCCCACACTTCGGTGATGGTCACCGCTTGTGTGGGTGGTACAGGAGTCCCGCGGGCCGCCATGGTGGCCGCGTGGCGCGAAAGGGGAGGGGAGTGTGCCAACTATGGCGAATGGGCCAATGGCAGGAGGGCACGAACGATTGAACGAACGATTGAACGAACGATTGAACGAACGAACGAACGATGGAACGAACGATTGAACAATTGCACAAACGAATGATTGTATGCTTGTATCAGCATCTGCATAAACATGGGTATGGACGTCCACACGGGCATACAGACAAACATATGCGATAATTGTGCTCATCGCTCCTTTGATCGCCATCAATACCCCGAGGCACCATAATCACATGAGTCCGTGCCACCATCTCTACCATTGTCCCCACCACTGTCCCCGTCGCTGCCGAATCACGGCACCACGCCCAGACACACACACACACAAACACACACACACACACACACACACACACACACACACACACACACACACACACATACACACATACATACACTTACACT